AAAAAATAGTGCACAATAAGACTATAAATATGCCATTCTCTTTCAGCTGTAATGTTCTTAAAATTATTCTCGAATGTACTGTGATGTCAATAAAGCTCTTTAGTTCATTTTTGTTAACTTCTTGCACCTTAATTTTATGATTTTTAATCTAAGGAACGTACTTTTATACAGAGGCAGCTGGAATTTTGTATTACAGGTTTTAAAGGTACTTCCTTTCATCTTCCCCCAGAGAAAATGGTTTTAAATTAATAGTTTGACAAAGTTTGTAATTGTACACATGGACTTTTGTCACATTCTACCTTTAAGGGTATGAAAGTGGGCCATAAATAGATGTATATTTTCCATTTGGAAGCATTTGACAGCTTTCTAAACTTTTCTTCCTGTTTGGGGGATTTTCAAGTAACATGTATTCTCTCTGTGAAGTACAGATCACTCCTGTAAAATGAAATTGCTGAAATTAATCAAGCCATTGCACCAGTAGAATTATCTGTAAAGAATGAGTGTGTTTGGCATTGATAGTCAAGTCTGGAAGAATATTCTGCCATCATCCACTTCTGTTTTAAAAGCATATTTTAAACACTTGGGGTTAATATAGAAATAAGATGATTCAATATATATTTATATTTTTAAAGTGTACTATGACCTCAACTCAGTGGAGAAATGCTGTATTATGCAGGTCTGTGTCAACTTCTTAACCTTAAAGTGATCTGATTTTGTCAATTTCTTAAATTATGATCAGTGAGTGGTCTAGCTGTTTAAGGCAGTCATAACTTAGTAAAAGGCTCTAGAAACATTTTAATTTAAGTGCCCAATGCTTTCATGGTCTGTTTTTTATAAGATTATTCCCTTATGTGGCAGTACATAACTCTGAAAACAAATGCTTTTAAAATCTTAATTTAAAATGCAGAGAAAAGCAGGTGCACGACACAGAAGTTTTGAAGTATGCCTTCTTACCAGCAATAGTTCATTTAAAAATAATGCCATATTTTTGCCAAGATCAGTGTTTCTTCAAAATAAAGATAGAAATAGATTTGTATAATGTGCTCATGTACCTTCTACCTAGGTTCTTTAATAATTTTTAGCAACTTATGCATTTATCTAAAGGAAATAAACCAACTGTGAATAAATGCATGTTTACCAAAAAAGGCTGTTTTACAGTGCATTTAGTTCTGATATTTATAAAGTTGGCATTTCACAGGATAACTTTAACATAGTTTAGAATTCTATAGTTTAGTCATCAGTCACATTTGAAAGTAAAATTAAGGAAAATGTGCAATATTTTTTATGTAGGAGAGCTAACATGGTATACATGATTGCAGAATTGATTATCTTGATTAATTTGTAATAAATAAGTTGTATAACATTTTCATATCTAAAAGTGTTTTTTTAGATTAATCTTCCAGTGAAAACTATTTTCAAAATAAAATTCTACAGAAAAATCCACTGGCTATATGCACATTTTTGGGCAAGAAAGAAACTAGAACCAAAAGTAGTATTCAACAGTTTTTATTTACTCTGACACACTTTGCAAACAATTACCAGTTCTTTCAACATAATCATATTGTATGTGATTATTAGTAAATACAACAGTGTTTTAATTACCTGGGGTTTTCATAGAAAATTCATGTCATTGTCATGTAATATATAATATGTTTACCTTGAGTAGTAAGATTTCATAAAACAGGGCTTCCATGATTTTAGTATATGAATGCTGAAACTTACACATAAGCTAGATGTACAATTTGGTTATGAAATTTTTTTCAACAGAGAATTAACAGATTCAGTTTTAGAGGTAATGTTTAATTTGGATTGGTTAATAAAAGTTGTCTTCAAAATGTTTTCCTTTAAAATATTCGTAATGTATTAATCATACTTGTTTTTGTCAAGTGGGCGTAATTCACATCATTCGGAGAGTAAGATGTAATTTTAAAGACTTATTCCAGGCCTTAAAATATAAATAAAGATTAGTATAGAATCTCATTAGCATATATAAGTTTTCTGTCATTGTAAAATTTTTTCAAAGAATATATTTCTACTGCTATAGTACAGTTAAATTTCTCTCCAAAGTGTATTTTTGTGTCTGATTTATTCCCAGAGAAACAGAGTATAATAGTAAGAAAGATTTTATTTTATGTGGGGATTTTTACATAGATTAGGTAAAAAGTCCAGAGTCCCCACAGTGTGCCTTATGTTTAAAAATTTCATTTAAAAGTTTCACTTTAAATCTCAGTTTTAAAATGAATTTTAATGTTCATATTTTAAAAATATGCTAATCATGGCTTAATGGAACTCGTTTTTGAGTAATTGATTACCTATTAATATAATTTGAAATCACTGTGGGTCTCTATTTCCTCAACTACATAAGGGAGAGGGCTCTTTGGTGGTCTAGTTGGTAACAAGTTATGCTGCCAAACCAAAGGCAGGCAGTTCAGATCCACCAGCTACTGTCTCCAGAAACCTACTGGAGGATCCTCCGTGAGTTTTGACAATAAACAACAACACATACGGGAGAAATTACCTGAGCTATTAAGTTTTCGGACCCTTTCAGTACTTATTCTAATTTAAGTAAAATTTGATTATAATTAATCTAAATGAGAAAAGCATTTTTTTTTGAGAAAAGCATTTTATTAGCTCTTAAAATAATGCAAACATGGCTTTTGCATCAAATATAGATGAGTATTTGTCATAGTTGTCTAGTGGACACACTAGTTTAAACCTGCTAGTTTGATTATGCTCGATTAAGGTATAAACTACCAATTTTATGGACGCTCTTGTGGCCTAGTGGCAAAAAGGTGCACGGCAGTCCCGAACGCACGATGTTTGAGGCCACCAGCTGCACCTCCAGAGAAGAATGGGCAGTCTTTTCCTGTGCGATTAACTGCCTCTGAAAACCCACCAGAGGTCAGCTATGAGTCGGTTCAGACTTGACAGTACACAACAACAATCAATTTTGTTTTTGTTTCATTTAAATTTATTAATTTCAGTAAAAATTTACAGAGACTTTTGATTTCCACCCATTCATTGTTGTACTTTTCTCCCCTCCGAACCCTCTTCCCTAGTTCACTACCCTCTTGGAAAAGTAAAAGAAAAATTCTTTTACTGTTCTACAAACCCTCCTGCAGGTCCGCTCTACCATGTAGCCTTTGCTTTAGACTCCTGTCATGACAAAAATACCTAATCACATATCCCTTTAAACAGTTTTTCTCCCTCATCTGTTTCAATGCAGTTGTTGTTATGTGCCGTCGAGTCGTTTGCGACTCATAGCGACCCTATGTACAACAGCCCTAAACCCTGCTCTATCCTGTGCCAATCCCATTGCCTCTGACACACCCATCCCGATTACCCCAGTCACTGAATCAATCCACCTCATAGAGGGTCTTCCCCTCCTGCGCTGTCCCTCCACTCTGCCCAGCATGATGTCCCTCTCTAAAGACCTGTCTCTCCTTACAACATGTGCAAAGTATGTCAGGCGAAGCCCCAGAAACCTTGCCTCCAAGGAGCACCCTGGTTTAACCCTCTCTAGGATGAATCTGTTTGTTTTCTTGGCAGTCCATGGTACATTCAATACTCTTCTCCAGCACCACAGCTCAAAGGCGTCAATTCTCCTTCTATCCTCCCTAGTCATTGTCCACCTCTCTGATGCGTAACAAGTGATTGCAAAAACCATGGCCTATATCAGGTGCACCTTAGTCTCCAGAGAGACACTTGCTCTTGAGTACTTTAGAGAGGTCCCTAACTGCAGACTTTCCCATTGCAGTACGTTTTTTGATTTTCTGGCAACTGTTGCCAAGAGTGTTGACCGTGGAGCTGAGCAGACTGAACCTGTGAACAATCTCAATCTAAACCCATCTTTCTCAGTCTCTCCCCAACCCCTACGTCAGTCCTGTTTTACAACAGTGGCACCAAGCAGTATTTGTCCTTTTGTGACTGAGATACTTCACTCAGCATAATGTCCTCCAGGATCACCCATTTTGAATAATATTGCATGAGTTCTTTGTTTTTCAGTGCAGCATAGTATTCCGTTGTGTGAATATACCACAGCTCCTCTATCCATTTGTTTGTTGATGGGCACTTACGTTGTTTCCAACTCCTTGCTATTGTAAACAAAGCCGCAATAAACATGGGTGTGCATATATCTGCATGGGTGTCAGTTGTGTTCTCTCTGGGGCATATTCCCAGTAGTGTAATTGCTGGGTCAAATGGTATCTCTGTTTGCAACTTTTTGAGAAAGCACCATACCGCCTTCCACAGTGAATGCACCATTTTGCACTCCCACCAACAGTGAATAAGGGTTCCAGTTTTTCCACAACCTCCCCAGCATTTGTTGCTTGCTATTCTATTAAATTTTGCTCTTCTGACTGGGGTGAGATGATATCTCATAGTTTTAATTTGCATCTCTCTTAGAGCTAGGGATTTTCAACATTTCTTCTTATGCTTGTTAGCCATCTGAAGGTCGTCTTCGGTGAAGTGTGTCTGTTAATATCCTGTGCCCATTTTTCTATTGGATTGTTTATCTTGTTTTGGTGCTCAAGTATTTTATAAATTCCGGATATAAGTCTCTTATCTGATATGTTATTACCAAATACTTTTTCCCAGTTAGTGGCTTGCCTTTTTTACCCTGTTGGAGAAGTTTTTGGATGTGCATAGGGATTTGATTCTTAGAAGATCCCATTCATCTATTTTATCTTCTGCTTGTAGATTTTTCAGGATACTTGGAAGACTGTTTTATGTTGTGGATTAGGACTTCTAGAATTGTTCCTAGCTTTTCTTTAATGGAGTTTATAGGCCTTGGTTTTAGTTCTAGGTCCATGATCTGAGTTGATTTTTTTTATATGGAGTGAGGTGTGGATCTTGCTTGCAGATACTTTTCCAGTTTTGCCAACACCATTTGTTAAAAAGGCTGTCATTTCCCCACTTAACTGATTTCATCCCCTTGTCAAAAATCAGTTAACCATAGATAGATGGGCTGATCTCCGGGTTCTCAATTCTATTCCATTGGTCCTTGTGTCTGTCATTGTACCAGTACCATGCTGTCTTAACCACCACGGCAGTGTAGTAGGATTTGAAATCAGGGAGTGAGATGCCTCCTACCTTTCTTCTATTTTTAAGGAGTGCTTTGCTTATTTGGGGCTTCTTTCCGTTCCAAATGAAACTGGAGCTTGCCTTTTCCATCTCGTTGAAGAATGGGATTGGGGTTTGTATTGGGATTGCATTAAATGTGTAAATTGCCTTTGGTAGTATTGCCATTTTCACAATATTGAGCCTTCCTATCCATGAGCAAGGGATATTCTTCCACTTCTCTTTTTGTTTCTTGTAGTAATGTTTT